GGGGGGGGGGGTGTCCCCTTAAAAGAAACTGCTTTTCTATGAAACAACATAATATTCAATTTTTCTTTTTTAGAAATCAATTTCATTGTTGTTTTTTTAACACAATAAAACACTCTCAGTTTAATCATGACTTTTAGAAACAAATCTAAGTACTATCAAAATAAACTATATAACATTTTTCATTAAAGCATAATAAATATTGAAATCAACTATAGTACTTTGGCGTCAAATTCAAGATGAAAACTTTTTTTTTCAGTTTTGATGTTTTTTACTTTTTCGTATTTTTCTATAAGCAAGAAACATAAAACAGCTACTGTATATTGTGGGTGTAGTTATAGAGAGACCACTACCAGCTACAATTAGCATTATTTCAAAGAGTAACAGCTGTTAATAAACATAAATAATTATTCCTATAATGTACACGTTCGGACAAAAGTCTTTTCCTCTTTACCTTTTTATGATGTCATACTTCGATTCAAATTTATTGCCAAATAGAGATATAATATGAGAGTTTTATTTCAGTATGGTGTACAGATCACACAGTAATAAAACTCTCATGTCATATCTCTACTCGGTAATAAATTTGAATTCAAGTATGACAGCATAAACAGATAACGGGGAAAAGACTTTTGTCCGGAGATGTATAAATGTCTCTTATCTCATCTGGTTTTATTTTATTCCTCTGGTAAGCGTTTATTATAGTTTTACAGTTCTATAATAAACTTATACAGCGTAGCTATTATTTGCCAACAGAAATTTATTTGATCATTCTAATTGGCTTATTTATGAAAAAAATGAACCTTAGTTCTGACACTAGTGCCCGTAATCCCAGCCATAGCGGTTTTTGCTTTGGTACTAATCGCAGACGGAAGGAGAGAAAACAATGATTACACATGCTCGCTAATACTACGATATTTTAATTAGCCGTTATCCTTTGTTAGAAGGATCTACAAATAATAGAATGAATGCAAATAAATAGGAAATAGTAGACGAAAAAGAATACAATAAAGACAAAGATGATGAGAGTAATACGGATACATAATATAACATTGAATAATCCTTTAATGAACAGAAACCTTTCAAATAATACTTCTGGACTTAGAGACTATAGTTATTTTTAACCACTTAAGACATCATTTATCCCGATAGTTCAGCCATGATCTGCATGGAATAAATACGTTTTAATACCTGATAAAACTTATGTCACACTTTCTTTGCACATATACTATTGTTTATTCTCTTTATACAGTCAGTTTGATGATTTGCTAATATTATTATATTATTATATAGTTCCAAGTGTCCCCTAGCAAACATTTGAGTTTGGTTGTAAAACAACAAAAATCATTGCAAGACAAGGGATTAAAAGATAACCCCTCACCTTGCATTTGACGCCAAAGTACTATAATAATCATTGGTCGATTCTTCACCAGTATTGCGTATTATGAATGTTTCTACAGAGACATGACAAGTATTATAAAAAAAACTATAATTCATTTGAATTTATAGACGAATTTATGACAGTAGAAATTCAAAAACTCAAATGGGGTACAAACGGTGTACCCCGGGGGTACAACTTTTTTTGGGGTGCAAAATGGTAAAATGGGGTACTGTACCCCACAATGGGGTACGTATGGCAGCCCTGCCACAATCACCTGTGTTGGCTCCTATCATGAGGAATACATGAGTCGGTCGTTTTTCATTATTATCAATTAGAGCTCAATCACTAAAACATATTTTATATAGAAATTCCATCAATTTCAATTTCTTCAAAGGTATACTATTATCTACTTTTTTTGCTATGACCGACGTTACGGAAAAGAATGCGACAAGCAACTAGTAACGACAATAAAAAAGATAGATAAAAGATATATAAAAACAAAAATGAATATCGACTCTCATTCATGACTGACTGCTTCTTCTAATTAGAATGTTATCTTCGATGTTTTTTTATATATATGAAGAGCAAAGACAACGTATTCACACAATAGTATCATCAATTTTCATGAATATTTTTGAGATAAACACATGAAAATAAAAAAAACCTATGTTCTTCTTTCTATTTGATAACGATGTCTTTAATAAAGGTATGATAACGAAGGGAATCTTTTCTTCTTCTTCTTCTTCTATTAAAAAGGTGTCAACTGCTAATATGAAAGGGGTCGTATCTCAAGGTCAGATACAAGTAAGATGAATGACAAATATTTTTTTTCCATGACAAAAAGAAGACAAAGAACATAAGTTCTAATAAAGTCAGGATTTTGTGGACAGTCCAAATATTGATAAGAGAATACCTTTGTCATCGTTCGATAGACGTTTTTGAAACTTGCAAGGATCTCTGTTGCGAAGCACTTGACGATAAGATAATATTTGTTCGACGAAAAAGCAAAGAAAAATATTTGTTTATCTGTATTTCTCTTTCTGCTTGAAATTATATCACGACCATAGATGAAGAGTCAGTTGTATTCACATTGAGCTGCTTACACCTTGTTCCATTGTGCCGTAGCGTGCTTTGAATTTATACTATATAATGAAAAAAATAACATCTTACGACTGACACACAAGTAAAACAGTGTGATCATTGTACAAACAAACTAGATCATTCTATCACTGCCTGTTCTTAAAACTTTGAATGCTGTTGATTTTTGTCTAGAATTAGAGAACTGTTTTATGAAATAGTGGTAGATTCACCACACAATTAATAATGAACATTTAAGCAAAGTTCCGAAAGATCGTTGTACACTGTTTTGAGTTCTTTCCTATAAAATTTCATCATGCATACACATGGCTTCAACATTCTAATTATTCGTACTTATTTTAAAAAATCAATTCTTCCACGTTGAATGTCTATTCTCTGACTTCCACATGAATAAATTACTATCGAATTTCTAGGCGTTCTTTCCTTATTTTGTAGTTCTGGATACAGAACATACCCTCATGATGACTATCTGAACAACAGTCGAAACGCGTCCTATGATGCTTTCAATCTGTTCGACGAAAACTCACCCTTTATTAAAATACTTAGGACAGTATGATTAATTTTCAGCCCTTTTCATGATAATTCCTCATATTGGCTGCCAATCTGGCTTTTCGAGTAGTGTCACATACCCAAAATTTTGGAGATCTCTCAGATCTCCTGTAGAGAGATGCCGCTTCTCCAGCGGGAGATACGGCATCTCTTTACGGAAGACGCGGTCAATTGCCACTGGAGATGTATCATTTTCTTTAGAGATACACATTCCTCGCACCCGCACCCACATCTCTTTCCAGAAGATGGCGTAGCTGCGGTGAGAGATTTTGGAGATCTCAAAAATTTTGGATATGTGACACTGCTGTCGAGCGTAACTCACTTTCACACCCAGCTGTTCCAACAGTCAGTCAAGGGTTTGCTGATGAGAAGTCCATAGAACTTCCAAGGTTATTCATACAACTATGTGGACGCTCGCACATCTATTACAAAATCAGCTCAATATATAATCCAGTTAAGCATAGACTGGGGTATCAAACACAAGGCCCTCTGTGTACACATTTCTAACGCCCGTCGACCGGCTCCGAGGTCGATCTCATAAGTTTAATGAAGAGTACTGTTTATGTGGGCATTTGTTGTTTACGCGAGTGTCACGCATCTATAGTGATTAAAAATCCCGAAAAGAAACAAAAGATCCGTCGTTTTCTATACATTTACAGTTTATCCTCGTTTTTTGACCTTTTAGTTTCTTAATATTGCTTTTACGAAAACTTTTCTCATTGGTGTGCAAGTGTCCTAACGTCCAGTGAATCAAACGCGTATGTATTGATCAGAAATCCAGAGAATTTCAAGATATTTCTTCATTAACATTGCAACCGTTTACAAAAATCTTAAAATAATCTTATTTTTCATTGATAGAAACGTATATGAATGAGAAGTCCATTAAAATGCAAGCATTTTCCCAATTACCATGGCAACCATCTACAAAATACTAAAATACTGCTATTTTCCTTCGGTCCAAACGTATCTTGGTGACAAATCTATACCATAACATAGTATACGAGAGATCCCCTACATATCAATAGTTAATATTACTTTATTCAAGGAAAACACACGCGGGATGCAGGATGCAAAGGATGAGCCCTGGGGAATGTGCTGAACGAAGACAAATCTATAGAGTATCATAGGGTAAAATGAGTTTTTCTTATAAAATAGCTGCGAGGGCCTAAAATATGTTGCAACCCTACAGGTTTCTGGCTAAAGTTTCTTATTATCAGCAAGCACAAACAAGCTGCGGAGTCCATGATAATTTTCTAAGAAGATAAATAGAAACTATTATATTCTATTATTTTCGTATAGAAATCGCTATGGGATAGTCCTTCTATGATAGAGACCCTAGAGATATATAGTTAAACTTTCTCTTTAACGAAAAACATGAAAAAGCTGTGGAGTACTGAGCTGCTGCCTTCCTGATAATTATATAGGA